ACACCCACCTGTGCTACCACAACCTGCCACCACGAACGAACAGGCGGGGACAACCCACGTCCAGGAAGGTGTCGGTCAAGCTGCCAAAGTCAAGCCTTCAAGAGATCTCGACACCAGGACTACCAGAGGGCAGATTCACGAAACCCTCTCCTAGAATCACCTTTTTGAGTTGCTGTGTAAGGTAGTCATACAAATTTAACACCGAGGGACTAGAGGATAATTTACAAAAGTTCAAGAAGTATTGCAGTTATTATTTTCGTAACTACTGATGACAGAAGGTTATAGTAGGATAAGCCTTGTCCCATAATGACCAATGGCAATGCATTTAACAAAATGACCCAACCAATCACATGCTATTTTCCAGCACAGCTGATTGAATTCAGACACTGAAGATAGACAACCCTATAAGCGTAGCTATCTCAGCACATTAATATTACAGCCCCAGCTGATAAGAGAATAACGGTGAATTTACAGATTTAGTAATACATGCCTGGAGGAGAATATCAGTTGCAGGCAAAATTCGAAGGTTCTACAACAAAGAACCAATCCAAGTGACATCATTAATCTCAATGCAATCAGTTCTGTATGTCCAATGCAAAGAAACGCCATGGGTGTGCGGAAGAAATAGGGGGTTCAAGCTAGCACAAGCCTTTAGCCTTGTATACAGTCCTAAAGCAATGATGAGTCATAAGAAGAAGAGAGCAAAGAAACGTTTGGAAACCAGACGGTGAGATGGAGTACAGAAGAGTCAAGAACTAAACATCTAAGCAGAAGAGGGATTCTAATTGTGTCGTGCTAATGGATGAGAAAGCAGATACAAGAGAGATGGAAGGACTGCTTTGTGAGTCTGTTGAATGAGGACGCCTCCGGGATGATCATGGCGGAGCCATACCCAGTGCCTTACAGGACCTGCATCGAGAGCAGAAGTGGTGACAGCACTTGATAGAATGAAAAAAAAAAAAAAAAAATGCAAGGCGACTGAACCAGATAGAGATCCCAGTGGAGGCATGAAGGGGCCTGGGATGTGCAGAAATTGATTTTTTGTGGAGTTTATTTGCTAAGATGAACAAGAACGGATACCACGAGAATTGTGGAAGTGTGTGCTGGTGCCAATCTTCAAGAAGAAAGGATATGATGAAGAGTGTGAGAACTACCGTGGAATGAATTTGCTATCACATGCAATGAAGATCTGAGGAAGAATAATGGATGCGAGGCTGAGACAGGAGGTGAAAGTGTCCAGAGGTCAGTTTGGGTTCAATGCCTGGAAAGGAACAACAAGCGTTGAGGCAAGATGTCGGAAAAGTGTAGAGAGAAGCCAAAAGAACCGGTATATACAGGTTTGGAGAAGGCCAATCATAGGATATTAAGACAGGAACTGTGGAGATGTTTGACAGAGAAGGGTTCCAGAAAAGCAAATGATTGTTGACAGAAATGTATAGGAATGTCAAAACATGAGTGAGGAGTGGAGCAGATGTAAAGACAGTTTTGGAGTTGGAGTAGGGCAGCATCAGGGCTCAACATTATCAGCAGACGGTAGAAAGGAGAAAGAAACATCTGGAAGAACCCAAGAAAGATGGAAAAGTTGCAGGGATGTGTCAGGAATTTTGTGCGACAAAAAATATCTGAAACTGAAGAGGGAAAAATATGTCTGTTATAAGACTAGCATTGACGCCTGTGGCAGAAGCAATACCCGCGAAGAAATCAGACGAGAAGAGGATGGAAGTGGCCGAAGTGAGGACGTTACGATAGATGTGTGGAATGACAAAGTGAGATAAGATCAGTAATGCAATGATTAGAGGAACAGTGAAAGTACTGTGAATGTCAAGAAAGCACAAGCAGCAAGACAGATGGTATAGACATGCTATGGAAAGCAATGTAGACAGTGATGAGAGAACAATGGACTACTAAATCATGAGAACAAGAGGAATACCCAAAACAAGATGGAAACATTGCATAGTGGGGAATATGAGAGAAAAGAGTTTGAAAAACCACCTGCTAGGATATAAAAGCAGGTGGAGAAACAGCCCCGCATGAAGACGAAATAGTAAGGCTCGGAGGCTGTGAGATGGCGAGGCAACCGCAGTCATTCGTATTTGCTGAGCAGATGTGACTGAACTCACACAACGTTGTAATCCATGCCAACTGGATTCGTTTCTTAACATCAGAAACCTTGTTAGACCTGCAGGGTCCCTGCGCTCGAGCCCCTTTGTCGGTGGACAGTGGCTGCCACTTGCCTGGCGATATCAAAAGCTGGAGAGGGATTTAAAGCCAAATTTCCGTGGCAACTACAGGCAGTGTCTTCATGCATGTCTGTGAGATTGCATGCGCTATCGTTCAACTCCTTTGGAAAGAAAACAATGTCCCAAAAAGCACTGGATAAGCCTAGAAATGGGGCTTGTCGATTTCATAATTTTACAAAATATTAATTAAAAAATGGCTTTTAAGACAAAAGGAATATTTCCCTAAGCTATGTGTCTCACTGTTCGATTTTATATATATTACGGCTTTCACTATTTCTACTGATCTTACTGCTGCTACAGCTGATGCAGTTACTGCTGCTATTGTTCATTCTATTACTGCTGCTACTACTACTACAACTACTAATCCAGCTGCTATACAACTACTGCTGCTGCTGCTACTACTGCTACTCCTCTTCCTCCTCCTCCTCCTCCTTGTACTACTGCTCCTCCTCTACTGCTCCTCCTCCTACTACTGCCTCTCCTCCTCCTACTCCTCCTCCTCCTATTACTACTGCTGCTGCTACTCCTACTACTACTACTGCTGCTGCTGCTACTCCTACTACTACTACTGCTGCTGCTACTCCTTATCCTCTTTCTCTTCCTTCTCCTACTACTGCTCTGCCTTCTCCTACTCTTCCTCCTACTACTGCTGCTCCTACTCCTCTTCCTTTTCCTCCTATTATTGCTGCTGCTCCTCCTACTACTACTGCTTCTGCTGCTGCTCCTCTTCCTCCTCCTACTACTACTACTGCTACTATTGCTGCTGCTACTCCTCCTCCTACTACTGTTCCTCCTCTTCCTTCTCCTCCTGCTACTGCTGTTGCTGCTCCTCTACTACTGCTGCTCCTCCTGATGCAGCTACTGCTGCTATTGTTCATACTATTACTGCTACTACTACTGCTACAACTACTAATCCAGCTGCTACTACAACTACTGCTGCTGCTGCTACTACTGCTACTACTCCTCCTCCTTATACTACTGCTCCTCCTACTACTGCTCCTCCTCCTCCTTCTACTACTACTACTACTACTCCTTATCCTCTTCCTCCTCCTCCTACTACTACTGATCCTCCTCTTCCTCCTACTACTGCTCCTCCTAATCCTCTTCCTTTTCCTCCTACTACTATTGCTGCTCCTCCTTCTCCTGCTCCCACTCCTCCTCCTCCTACTACTAGTACTACTACTACTGCTGCTGCTCCTCTTCTTCTTCCTCCTCCTCCTCCTCCTCCTCCTCCTGCTCCTACTCCTCCTACTATTGCTGCTGCTACTCCTCCTACTACTGTTCCTCCTCCTCTTCCTTCTCCTGTTACTGCTACTCCTCCTCCTCCTCCTGCTACTGCTGCTACTACTCCTACTACTATTACTGCTCCTCCTCTTCCTACTACTACTTCTTCCTCCTATTCCTACTACTACTACTACTCCCTCACCTACTCCTACTCCTCTTCCTCCTATTACTCCTACTGCTCCTCTTCCTACTCTTCCTTATTCTACTACTCTACTCCCCCTCCTTCTCCTACTACTCCTCTTCCTCCTCCTCCTTCTACTACTCCTCTTCCTCCTCCTCCTCCTCCTCCTACTACTACTACTATTCCTCTACTACTACTACTACTACTACTACTACCTCTACTACTACTACTACTACTACTACTACTACTACTACTGCTCTGCTGCTCTGCCTTCTCCTCCTCCTCTTCCTCCTCCTACTACTGCTCCTCCTCCTACTCCTCTACTACTCCTCTCCTTTCCTCCTCCTATTATTGCTGCTCCTCCTCCTCCTACTACTACTGCTGCTGCTGCTGCTCCTCCTCTTCCTCCTCCTCCTACTTCTACTACTGCTGCTGCTCTCCTTCCTCCTTCTCCTACTACTATTACTACTATTGCTGCTGCTACTCCTCCTTCTACTACTGTTCCTCTTCCTTCTCCTCCTCTTCCTTCTGCTACTGCTGCTGCTGCTCCTCCTCCTCCTCCTACTACTACTACTGCTGCTCCTGATGCAGCTAATGCTGCTATTGTTCATACTATTACTGCTACAACTACTAATCCAGCTGCTACTACAACTACTGCTGCTGCTGCTGCTACCTCCTCCTCCTCCTTATACTACTGCTCCTCCTCCTCCTCCTCCTTCTAGTACTACTGCTGCTACTCCTTATCCTTATCCTCTTCCTCCCCCTGCTACTGCTCCTCCTCCTCCTCTTCCTCCTTCTACTACTGCTCCTAGTCCTCTTCCTTTTCCTCCTACTACTACTGCTGCTGCTGCTGCTCTTCTTCCTCCTCCTACTACTATTGCTGTTGCTCCTACTACTGTTCCTCCTCCTCTTCCTTCTCCTGTTACTGCTCCTCCTCCTCCTCCTCCTCCTCCTACTACTACTGCTGCTACTACTCCTCCTCCTCCTCCTACTACTACTACTGTTACTGCTCCTCCTCTTCCTACTACTTCTTCCTCCAATTCCTACTACTACTACTCCCTCACCTCCTACTCCTACCCCTCTTCCTCTTATTATTCTTACTGCTCCTCTTCCTACTCTTCCTTATACTACTACTCGTCCTACTCCCCCTCCTCCTTCTCCTACTACTCGTCCTACTCTCCCCCTCCTCCTTCTCCGAAGATGATAGGAAGGAGAGAAGGAAAAAGAAGCAGATAATGAAAGAGTAACAAGACGAAGATGGAAAAAATACAGGAAAGGAAGAGAAAGAATGAGATGGTAATGGATGTGAACCTTCTAAGATCACTTCACGAGCAAAACCGAATCAAGGCACTCACCGATTCAGAACCAGGTGAATCGACCAGGTGACAGGGTTGCAACCACTGAAAAGAGAGAAAACGATGAAATGGATATGCAAGGAAAAAATCATTCTATTCTAAAAACATGAATACAAGCAATGACTATGAAGTGATCGAGGATTGGTTGCTTTATTTCCGACCAATGAAATTACTTAATTTCCCATTTCAGAATACAAACAGCCGCATTTTAGGAAAAGGCTGGTAAGTACGCCTTTTTAGCAAAGGAAAGTGAGTAATGTCGCAAAACATTTAGACAATTCCAAAAAAAGAAGAGCACTGAACGCTAATCTTCAAATTACTTTACACAACTGGATAAATCAGGCAAATGCTACTCCAATCTTCAATGTTCTATTTTGAATTAGTAGTTTGGGAAGGTGCAGTTCTGAAAACATGCTGTTAAAAAACACGTTTCAAAGGTACTGGCTATGAGAACAATGAAATTGATAAAAATAAAGATAAAAAGGAAAACAGCAATAAGAACTCAAATTAAATCGTAATGTTTCAAACTCCTAAAGAACACCTCACATTGTATGTGCAAGTTTGTGCGTGTGCGTGTGCGTGTGTGTGCGTGTGCGCGTGCATGTGCACTATAACTATCAGCAATCAGTCCTACTTTCCATCATCCATATTGAATACATGAAGGATGCAACAGGCAGCCCGTCAACCCACAGCCAATGGCCTTTCTTTGCTTTATGGGAAACTGCAATGATATTCTCCCTTTAAATTAATTTGCTCGGGGAAAGTTAACGCAATTTGAATCAACGACGTGCCTGCAAGTGGCTATAGCCGTTGCTGCAGTAGAGGCCAACACGTCTCATGTGGATTTTATGTAGACGAGGCCTATAGATTTATCTGACGCCTTATGGACGAGACTAGAGCCAGTCTAAGCTCTGTGGCTCTACATTGCCAGAATGAATGTGGCGGGGTAATCGGGAACCACGTGATGCTGTTCAGTGGAAGGGCATTTGGGCGTGTGTGGTGGGTAAGTGATTCTAAACAGATCTTCGGCTGCTCCGGCATTTTAAAGTTACATTAACTTGGTGGCATCTCCCTACAAAAAGGAAACCTTTCATATTTACCTTTCCCCGAGTAGGCCAATCCCTTCCCTGCAGTTGTGGAGTATCTTGGCCAGCCCAGGAACCATGTCTTGAGTGCATCTGCAATAAGATTGGATAGATAAGGTAATCACCATGGCAAAGCAGTCGACTTATTCTAATACAACAATTACTATCTAAAATCAATTCAATAATAAAATTTTGTAGCAGCGTTTATTTTTTATGTCATTTCCCCAGAAAGACATATTGCCCAACTTGCAACCTAGTCTATCACACTGATTCTTCATCCATTAACTTCTTTACAATATCATAATAAATAATCCATTTAATCTGATCACTTCCTTTAAAGTTATCAGCCAACACTCGCCCTATATGAGAATACAGAGTACTTGTTAACCACCCAATATCCTTATTGATTTGTAATACATCTAAAAGTACTTACATATCACTTTGTTTTGCAGCTGTTGTAATCTTCAACTTAAATATGTAATAAAATAAATATTTCACCTGTATTTAGGGGCACTGCCTATATTTTCCCTCAATCTTTAAAGTCCTTATTATTTTGCGTAAAACTGAAGTAATAATGTGTTTTATGAATGCCTTGTACTACAATATCATGGAGTTTTAGAAATACCAGAAATAAAAACGACCTTATTACTTGTTGTACCTTGGGAAATACGAAGCAAAATGAAATGATTGAATGAATGTGCATCCCTCTGCCACAACATCCACTGCCTTCCCTCTGCCACAACATCCACTGCCTTCCCTCTGCGCCTTCCTCTGCCACAACATGGCCACAACATCCACTGCCTTCCCTCTGCCACAACATCCACTGCCTTCCCTCTGCCACAACATCCACTGCCTTCCCTCTGCCACAACATCCACTGCCTTCCCTCTGCCACATCCACTGCCTTCCCTCTGCCTTCCTCTGCCACAACGCCTTCCCTCTGCCACAAATGCCTTCCCTCTGCCACGCCTTCCCTCTGCCACACCACTGCCTTCCCTCTGCCACAACATTCACTGCCTTCCCTCTGCCACAACATCACTGCCTTCCCTCTGCCACTGCCTTCCCTCTTGAGCCTGCCTTCCCTTCTGCCACAACATTGCCTTCCCTCTGCCACAACATGCCTTCCCTCTCCACACATGAGCCTGCCTTCCCTCTGCCACAATTGCCTCCTCTGCCACACATGAGCCTGCCTTCCCTCTGCCACAACATGAGCCTTTCCCTCTGCCACAACATGAGCCTGCCACACATGAGCCTGCCTTCCCTCTGCCACAACATGAGCCTGCCTTCCCTCTGCCACAACATGTGCCTGCCTTCCTCTGCCACTGAGCCACAACATCCACTGCCTTCCCTCTGCCACAACATCCACTGCCTTCCTCTGCCACAACATGCCTTCCCTCTGCCACACATGAGCCTGCCTTCCCTCTGCCACAACATGAGCCTGCCTTCCCTCTGCCACAACATGAGCCTGCCTTCCCTCTGCCACAACATGACCTGCCTTCCCTCTGCCACACATGAGCCTGCCTTCCCTCTGCCACAACATGAGCCTGCCTTCCCTCTGCCACAACATTGCCTTCCTCTGCCACAACATGAGCCTTCCCTGCCAAACATTGCTTCCCTCTGCCACATGCCACCTTTCCTCTGCCACAACATGCCTTCCCTCTGCCACTGCCTCCCTCTGCCACAACATCCACTGCCTTCCCTGCCACAACATCCACTGCCTTCCCTCTGCCACAACATCCACTGCCTTCCCTCTGCCACAACAACCACTGCCTTCCCTCTGCCACAACATCCTGCCTTCCCTCTGCCACATCCACTGCCTTCCCTCTGCCACAACATTGCCTTCCCTCTGCCACAACATGACTGCCTTCCCTCTGCCACAACATCCACTGCCTTCCCTCTGCCTTCCCTCTGCCACAACATCCACTGCCTTCCTCTGCCACATGCCTCCACTGCCTTCCCTCTGCCACAACATCACTGCCTTCCTCTGCCACAACATGAGCCTGCCTTCCCTCTGCCACAATACCAACTGCCTTCCCTCTGCCACATGAGCCTTTCCCTCTGCCACAACATGAGCCTGCCTTCCCTCTGCCACAACATGAGCCTGCCTTCCCTCTGCCACAACATGAGCCTGCCTTCCCTCTGCCACAACATGAGCCTGCCTTCCCTCTGCCACAACATGAGCCTGCCTTCCCTCTGCCACAACATGAGCCTGCCTTCCCTCTGCCACAACATGAGCCTGCCTTCCCTCTGCCACAAATGAGCCTGCCTTCCTCTGCCACACATGAGCCTGCCTTCCCTCTGCCACAACATGAGCCTGCCTTCCCTCTGCCACAACATGAGCCACTCCTGCCTCCCTCTGCCACAACATGAGCCTGCCTTCCCTCTGCCACAACATGAGCCTGCCTTCCCTCTGCCACCACTGCCTTCCCTGCACAACATCCACTGCCTTCCTCTGCCACAACATCACTGCCTTCCCTCTGCCACAACATCCACTGACAACATCCACTGCCTTCCCTCTGCCACAACATCCACTGCCTTCCTGCCTCCACTGCCTTCCCTCTGCCACAACATTGCCTTCCCTCTGCCACAACATCCACTGCCTTCCCTCTGCCACAACCACTGCCTTCCCTGCCACAACATGCCTGCCACAACATGCCACAACATTGCCTTCCTCTGCCACAACATCCACTGCCTTCCCTCTGCCACAACATTGCCTTCCCTCTGCCACAACATCCACTGCCTTCCCTCTGCCACAACATGAGCCTGCCTTCCCTCTGCCACAACATGACTGCCTTCCTCTGCCACAACATTGCCTCCCTCTCCACAACATGAGCCTGCCTTCCCTCTGCCACAATGCCTCCCTCTGCCACATGAGCCTGCCTTCCCTCTGCCACAACATGAGCCTGCCTTCCCTCTGCCACAACATGAGAATGCCTTCCCTCTGCCACAAACATGAGCCTGCCTTCCCTCTGCCACAACATGATCCTGCTTCCTTCCCTCATGCCACAACAGAATCCTTCCTTCCTTCCCTACCACAACAGAATCCTCCTTCCTTCCCTCTGCCACAACAGAATCCTTCCTTCCTTCCTTTCTCCACAACAGAATCCTGCCTTCCTTCCCTCTGCCCACAACAGAATCCTGCCTTCCTTCCCTCTGCCACAACAGAATCCGCTTCCTTCCCTCTACCACAACAGAATCCTCCTTCCTTCCTCTCCACAACAGAATCCTCCTTCCTTCCCTCTGCCACAACAGAATCACCACAACAGAATCCGTCCTTCTTCCCTCTGCCACAACAGAATCCTGCCTTCCTTCCCTCTACCACAACAGAATCCGTCCTTCCTTCCCTCTGCCACAACAGAATCCTTCCTTCCTTCCCTCTACCACAACAGAATCCTGCCTTCCTTCCCTCTACCACAACAGAATCCGTCTTTCCTTCCTCTGCCACAACAGAATCCGTCCTTCCTTCCTCTGCCACAACAGAATCTGCCTTCCTTCCCTCTGCACAACAGAATCCTTTCCTTCCCTCTGCCACAACAGAATCCGTCCTTCCTTCCCTCTGCCCACAACAGAATCCGTCCTTCCTTCCCTCTGCCACAACAGAATCCGCCTTCCTTCCTTCTACCACACACAGAATCCTCCTTCCTTCCCTCTACCACACAGAATCCGTCCTTCCTTCCTCTACCACAACAGAATCCTTCCTTCCTTCCCTCTGCCACAACAGAATCCGTCCTTCCTTCCCTCTGCCACACAGAATCCTGCTCCTTCCTCTACCACAACAGAATCCGTCTTCCTTCCTCTACCACAAACAGAATCCGTCCTTCCTTCCCTCTGCCACAACAGAATCCCTTCCTTCCCTCTGCCACAACAGAATCTGCCTTCCTTCCCTCACCACAACAGAATCCGTCCTTCCTTCCCTCTACCACAACAGAATCCGTCCTTCCTTCCCTCTGCCACAACAGAATCCGCCTCCTTCCTCTACACAACAGAATCCTCCTTCCCTTCCCTCTACCACAACAGAATCCGTCCTTCCCTCTCACAACAGAATCCGTCCTTCCTGCCACACAGATCCTGCTTCCTTCCTCTACCACAACAGAATCCGTCTTCCTTCCCTCTGCCACAACAGAATCCGTCCTTCCTTCCTCTGCCAACAACAGAATCCTGCCTTCCTTCCCTCTACCACAACAGAATCCGTCCTTCCTTCCCTCTGCCACAACAGAATCCGTCCTTCCTTCCTCTGCCACAACAGAATCCTGCTGAATCCTCTTCCTTCCTCTGCCACAACAGAATCCTCCTTCCTTCCCTCTACCACAACAGAATCCGCCTCCTCCACCACAACAGAATCCTGCCTTCCTTCCCTCTACCACACAGAATCCTCCTTCCTTCCCTCTGCCACAACAGAATCCTTCCTTCCTGCCACAACAGAATCCTGCCTTCCTTCCCTCTCCACAACAGAATTCCTGAATCCTGCACAACAGAATCCTGCCTTCCTTCTGCCACAACAGAACCGTCCGAATCCGTCCTTCCTTCCCTCTGCCACAACAGAATCCTGCCTCCTTCCCTCTGCCACAACAGAATCCTGCCTTCCTTCCCTCTGCCACAACAGAATCCGTCCTTCCTTCCCTCTACCACAACAGAATCCGTCCTTCCTTCCCTCTACCACAACAGAATCCTGCCTTCCTTCCCTCGCCACAACAGAATCCTGCCTTCCTTCCCTCTGCACAACAGAATCCTCCTTCTTTCCCTCTGCCCACAACAGAATCCTCCTTCCTTCCCTCTACCACAACAGAATCCTGCCTTCCTCCCTCTGCCACAACAGAATCCTGCCTTCCTTCCCTCTGCCACAACAGAATCCTGCCTTCCTTCCTCTACCCACAACAGAATCCTGCCTTCCTTCCCTCTGCCACAACAGAATCCTGCCCTTCCTTCCTCTCCCAACAGAATCCTGCTTCCTTCCCAACCACAACAGAATCCTCCTTCCTTCCCTCTGCCACAACAGAATCCTGCCTTCCTTCCCTCAACCACAACAGAATCCGTCCTTCCTTCCCTCTACCACAACAGAATCCTCCTTCCTTCCCTCACAACAGAATCCTGCCTTCCTTCCCTCAACCACAACAGAATCCGTCCTTCCTTCCCTCTACCACAACAGAATGCCTTCCTTCCTCTCCACAACAGAATCCTGCCTTCCTTCCCTCTGCCACAACAGAATCCCCTTCCTTCCTCTGCCACAACAGAATCCGTCCTTCTTCCCTCTGCCACAACAGAATCCTGCCTTCCTTCCCTTCCCCTTCCTCCCTCGCACAACAGAATCCTGCCCTTCCTCCCTCCTTCCCTCTGCCACAACAGAATCCTGCCTTCCTTCCCTCTGCCACCAAACAGAATCCTGCTTCCTTCCCTCTACACAACAGAATCCCTTCCTTCCCTCTGCCACAACAGAATCCTCCTTCCTTCCCTCTACCACAACAGAATCCTGCCTTCCTTCCCTCTACCACAAACAGAATCCGTCCTTCCTTCCCTCTGCCACAACAGAATCCTGCCTTCCTTCCCTCTGCCACAACAGAATCCTCCTCCTTCCCTCTACCACACAACAGAATCCGTCCTTCCTTCCTCTGCCAAACAGAATCCACAACCACAACAGAATCCGTCCTTCCTTCCCTCTGCCACAACAGAATCCTGCTTCCTTCCCTCT